CGAGACCCTGCACCAGCATCTCGTATTCAATGCTGCCCTCGGACCTCTCCTTCATCGGCTGTAGAATGGCCGAGTCAAACGTCTTCATGTTGCGGAGCACCAGCACGCGAATGGCTTCGGGGCCACCAGCTTCCAGTAGTCCGTAGATGGCTCCGTACAGAACGGCAGGCGGCTTCGTGGGATCCAGGAAGTACTTGAGACACGTGCGCGTGAGCTTTGGACGCAGCAGGGTATTGGAGGCCGAGTACTTGCGGGCGATTCGTCCCACCAACGACGCAGCCAGCTGTCGCAAATCGTACTGGTCCTTCATGGCGTCCACGCCGTCATCTGTGCCTAGCTTCCGGGCCATCAGGCACGTCAATGCTGGGGCGGACAGCGAGGAGGCGTATGGGTCTAAGAAGAGGCTCTTGTTTTCGATGAGGGCATTCGTCAGCTCCATCATTTGCCGGAGTGTAAACGTGTCGTCGAGGTGGTGCGTCACTCTGTCCATGATGAAGTTGATAAAGTACGGGACAAGCTGGTGCAGACCCGGGTCGTCACGTACAGAGCCCAGTGCCGCTTGGCGCAGGCGGACGACTTCTTCGTCAGGGTTGTCGTCGAGGATGGCGGCCTGGATCTTGTCAAAGTACAGTATGAGCTCTTTGCTGACAATATGTTTGACGGAGGGTTTGACGGCGACGTTGTCGTTTCCGGCCAGGGCAGCGAGGGCAGGATTTGCGCCAGGGCCTTTGGGAAGCAGCTCTTGGGAGCGAGATTCGGCCGTCGTTGGGTTCTGGGGTATTGATGGTTGGACGCCTTCAATTGCGAGCCAGTGGGCTGTTTTTTTATATAAAATAAAAGAGGTTAGCGACATCCAAGTGATGGTGATAACGGGCAGCGTACCTGTAAAGTTCATGTCACGAGGAACTTTGGGTAACGGCGCGTTGATGAGCTTTTCAAAATCGACCTCTTCGTCTTCAATGTAGAATAGCGGTTGGCCGGGACCAAGGCTCGCCTCGCCGTAGCGAAGCGGTCGTGTGGAATCATATCCGTAGAGAGGCTCAACATCGAGGACCTTGAGTGCGAGGGAGACGTCGTTGACGGTGAGGGTCGTTCTGCGAGCGGCGCGCATCAGGCGGAGCGCCTCGATAATGACTTGGCCGATGCGATACTCGACGTCCTGCGTCAGTGCCTTGAGGGCTTCGTCGTTGAGCGAGCTGATGCCAACGGATTCGGCGACATCTTTGACATTGTCGGAGTTCCAGAGGAGCTTCGGCCGGGGGGCTTCGTTGGCCATGGTGGGCGATGACGAGATGGTGGGAGTGGTAGATCTGGAGTTGGAAGCGGATGCAAGATGAGAAGTCAAGTCGCCCCACTCGTACTCCCCAGACCAACCACATATAACCCTAACCCTAACCACTCTTTACTTCTGTACAGAGTCCACGCTCACAGCAATTACATCTCCCTTCATCTCAACACTCCATCACTGCTGCATCTTTGGCTTTTGTTTTATTCTCCGCAACCAAGTCCATACTTTCTCCTCCCTCACCGCCGCACAAGTATACTAACCTACCGTCTGTGAGCCGACTGGTCCACAGCCTTGGGCGTCAATCAGCCAGGAATCAGCATACATTTCCGTTTCTATCTGTCTGTATCGGCTTTTAGACTCTTCCAGTAACCTTTTGTCGGTCAATAAAGTGCAAAATGTTGTCGAGCGGCATTGGGATCAAGAAACGACGTTATGACATGGATTTTTGGTACAGGTTAGTAGTAACGAGTTATCGAAAGGCAAGACTGGTGACAGCTCCCACTCTATTTTGAACTAGTCAGAGCCGACGCCAGTCTCGAGCTCTTTCTTCTATTTTGACAAGGTTTATATGACTAGGTTTTGCGGAGTTGGTAGTATGTATTTCAAAAATGTCTCCTAGCCTTGACTACGGCAGCCAGTATAGTTGTCATACGTGATGGCTGAACCCATTTCCATGAATATAGAAGTGACGCCTCCTCGTTTCAATCTAACTGCCTAGGCCAAAGCAGTGGCAACTGGAACATTACAAATTGCAGGGCATTGTGGATTATCTTTACATAGTGTATTGCTGAGCTGGCATGTTACCTGAAGTTCTGGCGCAACCAAGGCAGAAAGCGACGGCAACACTCCTTATAGGTCTGCACCGCTGCATAACTATTTCAACATGATAGCCAGACTCGACTACAGAAGTCAGGTGTAAGGCGGGGTGCCTCGTTCGTCAAGTCGTGTATCGCAGCCATTTATACACGGCTGCTGCTCTTGTTCCAAAAAGTCCAGGCCCAGATCCTATGCCGTCAGCATGAATCTTAAAAATAACACCTGCAGCCAGGTTTGACCCGTTGCCCCAGTGCAGGTATCCAATGGGTTCGGCGACATGCAAAGTGCGAGACCGTATCTGACGCTGATTCCGCCTCCTTCAAAGGACTTACCTTATGGTCTGGCGGCCAACAGGCAGAGTGGGAGGAATTTATTGGCGCTTTTGCATTGGAAGATTGTTGATTTCTCCGGCCAGGGAGATAATAGTTTGTGAGTCCTGTGGTCAAGCGCAAAGGCAAGCTTGATAGATGCGAAGCCTCGGTTGAGTCACATTACACGACAACTACGGATCTGCTCTCATCTGAGACCCAGCTGCTCGTGTACACGATCGTGGGCAAGTAAACGACGCGGTGCAATCTTCATAGCATGTGCAGTCTCCTTGTCCTTATCCTTGTTTCCTCGCGCCTAGCGCTCTTAGTCGAGCCTTTAGCTTGACTTGGGAGGTTGGAATGCCCGACTCGCGACTGCTCTCGCACGTAACTGCTAGTAAATGAGAATATTACGGGGTACTTATGTATGAGTTATATTATGCACATGGACATTCCTCTCCGTTTGAAATGTCACTATGAAACATTTTTTACGGGAGAATATCCACCTGTTATCCCTGTTCAACGACAATGTCGCGAGACTACTCCACGCCCAACCCTAACCCGACCCACTTTAATAAATACTAAACGAGCAGGTAGTAATAAACAAATCAATGCAAAGCGGCATTGATTGCCTCTCAACTCGCCACTTTAAAGCAGACATGGGTGACCATGTTCTTGTCAAAGGAATATTCCGTAGGCGTACTTTTCCAAAAAGTGAACGGCAAGGGAGGAGGGATAATCACACTCGGGAGTACAAGCCAAGAACAACATCTCGTGTGTGTCTTGCTCTGGCCGCAGTCATTGTCACAAAAGAAACAGGACAATTCATTGTGAAGTCGTCACTCTGGGCTGCACCCGCCAACACGCGCCGTGTTGCTATTCGCAGGAGTGTGCCTCGCCGGGCGTGCTCACGGCTGGAACGGCGTTATCGGGCGCAGACCGAGGCATGTTGCCGTCCAGCCCGTCCTGTTGGCAGGAGATTAGACTTACTAATTTAGTGGAGATGAGCAATGCTGGTGTATGTACGGAGTACTCTCTTTGGCTGGCATTCCACGGTCCGCGGCGGCAGTGGCTGTGGGAGCCAGGGAGGGACGAGTTTGAATTCCTTTTTTGCTCTGCTGAAACGGAGCAGGCGACGGCGCGATCCGACTGGCCGAAGAGCTGCGGTATCACACCGTTATCACACGGGAAGCGTGCATCATCTGTGATATCTGGCTCGGAAACTCTAATCGGCGGCAGAAACGTGTCGTGAGACAGCCTTGTGGTACTTGAGCATTTGGGATGAACTTGTCCGTATCCTGGAATTGCGCCGTCACGCCGACCGTTCGTGTTCCGGACATGTTTGTCAGGCACGAGAGGGCCTTGTGTGGATGCATCTCGCGAGCGTCGTCTCCACCACACAGCTCCATTCGACGTCATATATCAGAGTTCGTACGTTTAGTTGGTGATCTAGTGCTAGTGCTGCTCTGTAGACTGTACGGAGTAGCTACGACGCATCGCGATCTCGATCGGCAAACTGGCAGCTTGAATGCCAGGATAGCAGCATGTTTGGCCAAACCGTTTGATTGCAGACAGTCATCACGCCGAACAAGCAGTTACTCCGTACTCGTCTCGCCACAATGCCGACCGAGAGGAGCCAAGTCCGCATTGACTCTCCGGAGTAATAACTAGCTCATCGCCCTGCTAGGCTGCGAAAAACTCAAAATCGTTACTAGACCCAATTTCCGGATACGAGCCTGGTACTAGTAGTAGTACGGACTAAACCTCCTTTTTATACCCACCCACTTGTGCCCAAAGAACTAGAACGTTGTGCTACCAGGAACCCACATGAAGGCTCAGGAACCGCATTCAAGCACGCTGTGCTTATTGGGCTGAGCATGACCTGATGGCTTGGCAAGTACACGGTCAGCAACCACACTCGGGGGGGAAGAACCCTGCTGTGCTGCTCGATATGGACAAGTTCCGTTTTCCCGGTTCTGGCTTCCCTCCGTATAGTGGGACTAGTATCGTGAGGCCCTCGATGCTAATTCGATCCGAGCTATGCAGGTACGTAGTACAACCAGGAACTCGGCCTCGCCACTCGTGCCATGACGGCTGTTGTTTTCATGTACGACTCCGTTCGTACAGACTACTGTTCTCCCCCCCCCCCCACCCTGCG